CAGCGCGATGCCGGCGGCAGCTGGGGACGGGCTCCTGGGCGAGCCGGCGGCGCCCGGGGGCGGCGGGGGCGCCGAGGATGCGGCCAGGCCGGCGGCGGCCTGCGAGGGAAGTTTCCTGCCGGCCTGGGTGAGCGGCGTACCCCGCGAGCGGCTCCGCGACTTCCAGCACCACAAGCGCGTGGGCAACTACCTCATCGGCAGCAGGAAGCTGGGCGAGGGCTCCTTCGCCAAGGTGCGCGAAGGGCTGCACGTGCTGACCGGCGAGAAGGTGAGCCGCCCGGGGCTGGGGGCGCGGGCCGAGGGCTGCAGGACCCTGCAGAGAGCACTGCGCGGGGAGTCCGCTGCGTACGCCCGGCCGGGCGCCTCCCCCGCTGCCCGCCTTTCTTCTCGGGTTGAAGGAGGGGGTCCAGCCAAGCGCGCGTGCAGGCCCTCAAATTCAGGTTACCCGCCTTTCCCGAGGGGTGGTCTGGGGTCAGTTTCCCCCGGGGGATTGCTGGTTTATCCGCGAAGCTGCCGGCTGCCCTTTTGCTCTGGGAAGGGTGCCGCCTGGCGGACACCAGCGCGGCGGTGGGGGGGCCTGGCTCTCAGAGCCAGTAGGGGGTTGATCAGCAGAGAGGCAGGAACCAGCGCCGGAGTCCGTGGGCCCTTACGTTGAGGGTGGGTGGGCCGATTAGCCAGTCCTTGGGGGAACTTAAGAGTCTGAGCCCCCCTCCTGGGCTCTGGGGAGAAGGGTGGCGAAGGCCGAGACCCCAGGGATACTCCTCTCCACCTGTGGACTGGGGCAGCTAGGGGAAGTTTTTCATGCCCAGAGGAGAGTTTTTCATCCACTGTTTCATGCACCCTTTGCACCCCTGTTTCTTCCTCTGCTTCATTCCATGGATGGAAGCTGCAGTAAGGACCCCACTCTGGCAGGTACAGAACTACACACTGATACCCCCAGACTTCAGAGGTTGAGAGATGCCTTATGCTTTTGGAAGAAGGGAAAGCAGAGGTAGACCCCCACCTCCCCGCGACCGGGAGGGGCTAGGGCTCTAGCCTTGGGAGAAGTTAGAAGTTACTTGTGAACCCCTTCCAAGCCAGGCCCGGGTAGACTTAAGTTGTAACTTAGATCTATGAGAAGAAACCCAAGATATGATGACTTAACTTTTGGGTGAGTGGCCCAGGCACTGTGCACCCCAAACGGTGAGGCTGCCCCTGCCTGGGAGTTGCCTCAAGCTTAGAGCTGCTTCAGACCCAAGCTTATGGTCATCTCAGGCTCAATCCCCGCCCTCCAGGCTGGGGATTGCTCAGCGCTGGCCCGGCTCTAGCCCCTTGTTGTGGCCCATTGCCCAGGGAGGCATTGGCAGTATGGGAGGGACGCGATGCTTCTGGCTGCCTGCCTACCTTTCTGCCTGCTGACCTGAGATTCTCTGCCCCACCTGGGAATTCCTGGGGATGCTCTGCTGTGGGACCTCTGACTGCAATGCAAGCTCCCTGCCCTCCTGTCCCCAGTGTCACCTGGCTTTAGTTTCCCTCCTCAGTTCCGCCCGGTGTCCTGGAGCACCTTGCTTTTGAGCACAGGTCTCCATCACCCTTGTCATTTGTGCCCTAGTCCTGCAGAAGCTCTGTATGGGGTGCCCCTTTGTTTTGGGTAAGTGGGGTTAGAGTGAGTAGTTTAAAAATTGCCTCTTGCTTGAATTTCTGTGCAAAACGGGAATGTTCAGGATGAACTCACTGAATTGAGTAACTCTAAACGATGAAAAACAAAAACAAAAACAAAAACAAAAAACCCCAAAACTCCAGACCTCATTTTAGCCCAAAGGGAGCAACAGCACATTTTACTGGTTGGTTCTCAGCCGGCCTGACATACACCTCCGGTCAGGGCCCAGCTTTCTAATTACAGCGCGCTCACTTACTTCTCCGTCTCTGTTTAAATTCATGTTGGCACGGGGGGTAGAACTTTATTTTCATTCCAAACATATAGAATTCAGTCTGGTTGTGTATGTTTCCTCTTGAAACTTAGCAAAGAGAGACAAGGCTTTATGCTGACAGCATAATGGCCAACATTACGAGCACATTTATCTCGCCTGCCCTGCTGTGAGGCTGCTCTGGCTTCTCTCCACTTTCCCCGTCCTCTGTCTCCGGCTCCTTACCGGTATATTTTTGCTCCATAACATCAGGCTGTTGGCCTTGGCTGAACTGCGTGAGGTTGCACTCAAAGCTCAGTCCCTACCCAGCTGCTTGGGTCCTGGAGCTCTGTGCTGGGTCCACACGGGGGAATGTGGGAGTTCCTGCCCGAAGAGGGTCCAAATGAGGACCCCCTGCACCCCTAGGTGCTCACACCCCTTCTCTCTCATCATCCTTAAATGATCAACCTCACTTCAGCTCAGCAAGGGGAGAACTGTTAATTGGACATAAAATGATTGTACTGGACTGATTGGTTGGATGTAGTGAAGGACCGTGGTTCTTAGGGTGGTGGAGGTTGGGAGATGTCTCTGATGTGCCCTTCTCCAGCCTCCAGCATCAGGAGAAATCTGGATTTTGGTTCCCCTAATTGCCTGCCTTAAAGAAACAATGGGTGTCATTCATAGCTTTTATCTCCCAAATCCAACACCTTTACTGCTAAACTAACAGATTTGGGTTTGGGCAGATGGTCGAGATTAAAATGTCTGTATGTGCCTCTCTGCCTGGGAAAGATTGCCGGGTTCATGAGTCCCCACTCCCCACTCATGTTCTGGATATTGTCTTACTAAGGCTGAAACAAAGGTGAAGTCAACCTCACACTCCTTGCTGCCTTAAGTTCTCTTTAAAAGGTGAGCTATTAAGAGGGTTTTCCCCTGGGGAAGAGTTACTCATTGAGCCAAGCCAGGGGAGACCTTGAGGTGACAGAACTCCAAAGCAGGGAAGTGAAGTGTCCCCCACAGTGGATAATGTGAGTAGCTCAGGAAGGCCTCTCACCCCAAATCTTCCCCCTTTTAGGGGGTGCATACTTTCTGGATAAAGCACTTCGCTTTTCTCCTTTCCTGTTTAAAGGGACACAGACCACAGTGGGAGGGGAATTAAGTCATAAAATCTGTAGTAAGAAATAGATGTGTGCTCCCACACCACCCCCTGAGTGGAAGGATCCAGGGCAGCTGTTGGTGGGGAGTCAGTTCATGAAAAAGCTGGAAGGGGGGGATGGAGAAGGGGAAAAAGAGGGGGTACCCACGTTTGGCCTGCTTCCCAGTTTCAGTCGCAAACTATGCACTTTGTACTTTATGCCAAAATCCATAGTATTTCTGGTTTAGGTGTGTGTGTGTGTGTGTGTGTGTGTGTGTGTGTGTGTGTGTGTGTGTGTGTTGCATTGCGTTTTAACTTGGTGCATATTTCCAAAAAGATTTTGGGCGAAATCCTGCATGGCTTGCTGGGAATTACTGTCTGAGTCCAGATGACAACCGCCCACTTTTTCTGACTTTCATTTCAGGCTTCCATCTTATCTTATCAAAAGGCTTTTCCCACCACTTGCCTGCACGGCAGTATTTTGCCTGCCTTTCCTCTGAAGTTGTTTGTTTGAAAGTCATTTGAATCTAGATGGCCCTTTTATTGCTGGCTCTGAGCGAGACCTCATTTTGTCCTCTTTAGCTTTGAGTTGAAGCAATCCCTGTTAATGTGGCTTTAAAAATAAATAATTCTCTTGGTCATGTGAAACTCTTAATTGGTACCTTCTCAGTCAGGGCTGACTGTGTTTGAATAAACCCAGCTTGATGATTGGAGGAGGAAAAATGATCAGAAAATCAGATTTTGAAAAGTATTCTCTGTGGCTTTGAGACAAAGAGCAAAGTTGCTGAACAGGAGTATCCAGTGATGACTTTGAAAGACCCAGATAGATTTTGCTCACTGCCCCGACATTGGTCTCTGATACCTGTGAAATGCATAGTCTCTGGCACTCAATAGGTTATTAGCACATTTTTAAAAAATTGATCAAATATAGTTGGGAAGGCTTTTAGAGAAGAACATAGGTGTATCTGAGGTATAGAGCTTGTTTCACAAGCTGCAAAAAGGGGGAAAGTAGTTGAAGCCGCAATTACCTCTAATGATGAAGTCTAAGATACAAAGTTGGGTACATAACATGATTGGTTAAGATGTTTAAATATCATGTTCTAACCTTTGGTTAAAAAAATAAGCCTGTTTATTACTTTCATTGGAACTATTTTTGGACTAAAAATAAAAACTGCCTGCTTAGTAAGTTGCCAATAATTATGCTGTTTGAGCACGATTGCCAGGTACCTGGAGTGAAGGAGCTACTAAAAATACAACTTACTATGTTTTGCAGAGCAGGAAATATGACTAATTTTAAAGGTGGCCTTTTTGGCAGTTCTGTTTTTAGCAAGTATTTCTGAAACAAACAGGTGCTAAATCCTGGTTTTTCTCTCTCTCTCTTTTTTTAGTGCAAAAAATTCAGGGGTAATAGCTCCGAGGAACAAGAAATGCTTAGAGAACTGGAAATTCCAATTAATCCTCAGCAGGTATTTCTTGGCAAAAAGGAGGCGTTTAGCAAAAGCACCTGCTCAATGTGTCGTATGTGACAAGGCAGTGCCTATAATTTCTGCGACTGCATGCCGCACTGTTGGGCACAGTCTTTTTGAACTTTTTGCCCTGCCTCATCTTTTTGATGTACTTGTGAATGATGGAAATTGGCACGTAGGGCTCTGCTCTTAGTGTTCATTGATATCCAGGCTCCATGGACTTCAAAGGGTGCCTTGAGAAGGCACAACCTTGCTGAATGGTGCCCATGGAGAGGAGTACAACCTGAAATTTTCTCTGCAGGTGTTGGGTCACCAGCATGGGCTGGGTTTGATGATAGCATCTGCACATTGCTGGCTGTTGAGTGCAGTGTGGCAGTCATCCTTCCCTGGGGTGAGCCTTGCAAAGGTGTGGAGCGTGGTAGCTGTGTCTGCCCGAGGAGATGGGCAGGCCGGGTGTCCTCTGTGGGAAGGTAGCTTGAGCACAAAGTGTCATTTACCTTAGGATAGGCACCCTGCCTCGATTATTCATGCAAACTGAGTGACCTGCTCTCTTAGTGAATTGAAACCCATTGATCCATCCCAAGCCTTATTTTTAGCAAACAGGTGAAACCACTTCCTCTGCTCAGCCTGGACCCTGGCCACTCCCGAGTGCTGGCCTGAATTGAATTTCATGCGCTCTGATGGGGTGCTGCTGGCTGGCTGGTAAGACGACCAGTAGGAAAGAGGTGAACTGTGGGCCTGAATAGAATCCGAGTAGGCTGATACCTCTACAAGGTAGCGAGAG